CAAAATCACCCAGCCGGCTTTCATGCCTAAGGCAGGACTAGAACTCACAATATTCTGCTTTCTAGCCTGGTGCCTTAACCACTAGACCAAACTGGCGCTCTTTTGGCAGTCTCATCCCAAAGATCTCATAAGCTTTCAGCCAATTTTTAATATTTTTTAAAATTTAATTCTGGAGCCCTGAACAACATGGGGAGTGTTGTGAATGCTGCACTGCCAATCCCTGAGCAATATAACGTCACTTGATAAGGAATGTTGAGAAGCCTCTATTGGAAACTCTTCTTGTTCCAACTCATTCCAACGAAGAATGCTTCTTCTAAGAAACTACCTAAGGCAAGCATCATTTATATATCAAGAATATTATTTACTTCAACTATTGCTTTAATCAATAACACTGCAGATGAATAATGATATCACTAAGATTCTAGTAAAAAAGAAGGTCTCAGATATCAAGCTTTGGGGATTGAAGTTTAGTCTACCTTGAAGGCATGGTCCCGGATGCTTTCAATTACGTCCCGGAAGAGGATCTTGGAGGTGAGGGTATGGCCGTGATAAATAATGGGTTCTCCATTAGAACCTTCCCAGCAGTCAAGCTCCACACATCGGCACCCATTCATCAATGCCCTGCCAATGGGAAAAAAAGGATAAGGAAATAGATTTTGCACTTCAGAAATGCTAACTGGGATGGATAGAGTTAAAGGATAGTAGATTTTACTGTTTTCATTCTGGCACTCAGATGTACAGTTTTGTAGGCAATCGAGATGCTTCCCTAAAGCTTCTGAAGCATGCTAAGATCTAGGATGTGTGAAAGCTTCTTTGTGCTACTGAAGTTCAGGAAACTCCCACATCTAAAATTATATAAATAGATACTTATAAGACAACCTAGAAAAACAATGGGCTATGCTAGCTAGCATAATCAAACCAGTGAATGTAGAAGTTGTACTGCCATCATGTTTACGTAACACTCATAAGGCAGAGGTTAGATTCCAAATCAGACAAATGAGGATCAAGCTCTAGAGTCAGGAAATGTAGTCAGGCTGGGCAGGTGATGCAAAACAAATGGTTAACTCTGTGTTATACATTGTGTGAGCAATTGGACTTTCTATAGCTACTAATATGTAGTCTGATTCTCCCATTGGTCTGGCCAAATTCAGGAGCTGCAATAGCTTTTCTGGCTGCTACAAGGAGTCAAATGCTTGGATCTGATGCCAGAATTCCCAAAGAGAGTTCCTGGGTATTTCCTATGATTCACAAGAAATGCAAATAATATCTGCTGACCATATCTGCTCTTCACTACATCCTACGCAGAATGGCCCACAAACCCATTCACCCAAGGGACAGTTGAGAATAATTTTTCACACCTTGAATGTGAATAATAGGTTGGAGTTTATGTGATACCTAATTAATGGAACCACCTGATCCTAGGAAAGTGAATAAACAGATGGAAAGGGCAAATCCTTCCCAGGTACCAGTCTAATTGTTCCTCTTCTGTTATCTTGCCTTGGCCTTGTTCACCTTGTTCTATTCAAAATGTACCCCCTCCCATTAACCAGCTATCCTCTCCTAATCCACGGCTCACCCAGTTCCCCTCAGTACCTTCCATGAATCATAGGCAAAAACTAACAACAGGTGGCCATCAACTCCCAGGATGTGCTAGGATTTCATCCCCACCTCTGCCCCCAAATATCTGGTCTGTTCTCAACTAGCTCTTTGTGGACTTCTGAGAATAACACCTACTCTGCTACCTCCCTCCCTATCAGGTTCTTCAATATGAGCCATATTGGCTACAGCTATTCATAGGTGGGTCATGAAAACCTCTTACCGGACATATGCCTCAGTGCTACTGGACCCTCCAATCTGATTGTCTGTTAGGTACGTATTATGGGAGGAGGAGATGAAATAATGGCACAGAGGCTGGCTCATGTCCTGATAGATCCCAGTGTGGGCCTGGTTGAGAATGTTTCCCGCTGAAGATAGTAGGTACATTGTGAAACCATCCAGCATCATGAGGTTATGTTGCCTGGCTGTGGAATAGAGACAATTGGTTAAGCAGGTTTGACTACAATCCATGAAACAAGTTGACTGGATACATTTCATAATATACAGTTCTATAGGTTCCAAATACCTGCAACTCATTCTTTCCATCTCCCTGCAATGAACAAAATACATAATGTGATGCCACCATTCTTTTTTTTTTTTTTCCTCCTCAGCCCTGCAGCATTTTGCTGGATACTTTTTGAAGGGTAAAGAGAAAGTGAAGGACCAAGAAACATAATAAATTCTTGTGTATGATTCCACCCCCAACACTTCTAACTTTTTCTATTCTTGATGTTTTTTGCTTTGTTTTGGTTGTTTTGTTTTTAATTTTAATATTTTTTAAAAAAATTGGATTGCTTTTATTGTAAGGTACTATGCTTTAATCACAGATAGACCCCAGTTTCATTCCCAAGGTCTGTTCTTAAGTCGAATTTGTATGTAAGCCGGAACAGTATTATTGTATAATACCGTATAAGTAGTAATGTGTAATTAACTCAAAGCATTGTGTATTTAACTCAAATCACTGTTTATTTAACTAAATTTTGCTACAATAGGCTCCATTCTTAACTACGGGTTGTCCTTAAACTGGGCGTTCTTAATCCGGGGATTACCTATATAATGCTATGATGAAACCAACAAAGAGTTCACTTTTAAAAAAGATAAGACAGCATCATCTCATGCGTCTTGTTCTGGGGATGAAGGAAGAAGATAATGTCTATGTTCATCAGCCACCATTCATAATAAGGCATCTTCTGAGGAATAAACATCTATTTTTGTGGCTGCACACAGATGATAGCTTTCCAAAGACTCAAGGGCCATATGACATTGTTATTTATACAATGCCATCTACATATATGGATCTTTACAAAGACCAGATTTAAATATCCCTCCCTGAAGAGGTTCAGTCTAATAATTGGTATACACAGATGAGTTAAAAGAGAAAGAGGAATGAGTGGAAGCAGCAGTAAACAAGAAAAGAACCTGCAATTATTTTAGTTACATGCACTTAGGCTTAGCCACAACAGTTTCTTTGGAGTCATGGAAAAAGTGGGTTAGAAGACAGAACTGTAGAGAAGGTGGTATCATTGGGGCAATATGAGAGACAAGAATAAAGGGCAGGAAGGAAGCAGATCTTCATGGCTGAGAGAGGTACAGCTTTACAACAATGGAGTGTAAAACAGAAAGGATATGGAAGCCTTGAAGATAAGACTGAGAAGCTTGTGCAGAACCTGGGGGTGAAAATCAGAGGTCAATGTTGAGGCTGAAGATTTGCAGTATAGGGTGAGAATATTGGCAAATGCATAGTTTTCTCAGCAGAATCCTAAGTTAATACCAACACACTGAGGTGAAACACAAGCAACCAGGAAAAGAAAAGCTGTGTTATGGATTCCTCTGATTTTGAGGAGAACCTGGTGAACTCTTAGTCTGTAGATGAAGAGGTCACAGGCGGTAAGCCTCCTGTGACTGGTGAGTCAGATTCAGCACAAGTGGCTGCTGATTCACACAGCAGAGTCAGAGCCTAGGAAGACTGCCAAGCTCTAAATCATGTAATGTTAAATCATGTTAAAGAGGGCTGAGAGCAAAGAACAGCTATATTTTTGTAATGTTTTGAAAGCTAAAGCATTGCCTGGCAATAGACTAAATGTTAAGGTCAAAATAAAGAGAGCAGAGTCAAGAAAAAAGTTTCAGGCCAACAAATTGGGGCAGGAAATGACACTGTCAAAAAATGACAAAGTGAGGAGGGCTTGGGAGAATATTAAAAATTTGGCCTCAAAGAACTTAAATTTCAAGACACAATGAATTAACCAATGGAAAAATCAGAGAGGCACCTGGGAATGCAACATGGAATGGAAGGAGAAAGTTCTAGGGTAGAGAGGTAGAAATAAGTATCATCAGCAAAGTCATGATACTGAGAAAGGGTTAGGGTTAGAATAGAGTGAAAGAAGAGCAGTTCCAAACAAACAGAAGAAGGAAAGCAAGGAAAGAAAAGGAGCTTATTACTGTACAGAGTTGTTCCTGACCCATTGTCCGTAATACAAGCATTCATTTCTGTGTATCCTACCACAATCACAACACTGGACATTGAATCACAATTTTAGAATCTTCCAAATTAGAACATGGAAAAGATAAAGTTAGTTCCAAAAATGTAACCCCCATGGCTGCAGTTACATATGTATTTTTGGTAGGGCTGCAAATGGGCCAAAAGTGAATGGAAAAAAATTAGTCACCTTAAAATGTCACAAAATTTTTCACTGTTCTGATTGCAACAGACTACTATATGGCTACAATATAGCCCTAAAATGGCTTTGAAAGTTTTTCTCTCCAAATTAGAACCTGAAGAAATAAATACATGAATACTGCGAGTTTTAAGATTGGAAAAGAGCAAAACTGGAATAGAAGAAGAGAAAGGATGAGCAAATGCAGGAAAGATGAGCTAGGCTTCTATGTAGAAGACAGAATTTGGCAACATGCACAAATCCCTGTTTAATACAGTGATTACAGGTCCAATTGTCCAGTTTTTCTTTGTTCCTGGTCAACTTGAAGAACAAAATCAGAATAAAGTCACACTCTCAAGAAAAGATGCCAGCTGGGGTTAAATATGAGTTCTAGGTCTATCTAAAAGCTGTTTCAGTTGACATTTTCACAAGAAGACACTCTTTAGTACATATTGGCAACCTCTTCTGCACTTACACGTGGGCACTGACTGTGTACTGCTGCCTATACAGGCAAACCTGAACTTGCTTGATTTATTATTATACGACCCAGAGTTCCAGAGAAAACCAGTCATGGGTGTAAATCAGCCTATAGACTATATATGTTATATAAGTTGGGACCTTGAGGCTTGAGTTAAGGAGCTGGGCAACAGTGTCTTCCATGCTGCCCCATTTCAAGGCTGCCTGGAATTTTCTAAGAGCTAAGAGGAAGCACTAAAGCTAACAAGCATATGTGAAATTATATCTGGGTCTCCTCTCCCCTCATTCTTTTCAGCATCTAGATAGCAGCATCTACTTGACTCTGATTGGATTTAAAATGAAGAAATAAACAGGTTCAGAGCTGATACGTACTACCTGGTATGACTGCAGGGAAATTCCAGGGCTGTAAACTATACTGGGATATTTTGTTTAAAAAAGAAAAATCCCAGAAGCTGGCAGTGGCAAAACTTTTCCCCACATTTACATGTAGCTATGAGGAGACAAGCTCAACTCACAGGTGACTCTACTTTTACTCTTATATAATTGAAACTGATTTTATTGTTAATTTTATTATGTTATACAGTGAAAATAAGTTATAAACAAGCTATGGCTAAATGTAGAAATGAGTCTGCTGTGTCTTCATTTCATCTGTTTTGGCCTCATATGAGCCACTGGATCTACTGGTTGAATTTATCTAAGTACGCTTGCCTAAATGACAGCAAAAATGCCATTTAGGCCACACTGCCACACCAGCACCAACCTTGTCTTTGCAATATAGAAAGTGGAAGGCAGCTTTGCCATATCCTAGGGTTTTTATTTTTGTTTTTGCTAGTATGATAAAATATATATCCTATCAAGTTTCTTTCTAAGCTTCTAGGCTGCTAAAGAAAATCAGGAGTAATTTACTAAACCATTTCCTGTATTTGGTCTGCACTATTTCCTTTCTATGTTACCTTATGCAATATTTAAGAAATCAAAGGAAATTATTAAAATTATTTATGCAATACTCCCAATTCCAGTACTCCCTGTATTTATTACAAACCTGCCAGTATTGGATTGACTACCTGTCCAGGAGTGGGAGCATGGAAGAGAACTTCGTGGTTTGTTCCACAGAAATACAGTGGTACCTCGGGTTACGAATTTAATCCGTTCCGTGACTCTGGTCGCAACCCGATTTGTTCGCAACCCGAAGCAAAT